AGGAGTGAGGGAAGTGAAGGGAGGGAGGGAAGTGAGGAGTGAGGGAAGGGAGTGAGTAAGGGAGGGAGGTCATGCTTGTTTACTGTGTCTCTGTATGACCTAAATGCTTTCTACAAACACCCTGAGGAATTGGTGATGTTTACGTGCTGGATTTATACTTGGGTCTTACAAGATGGTATTAATTATTTGATCTTGTGTGGGGAGTGTGTGTGTGTGTGTGTGTGTGTGTGTGTGTGTGTCCTCGTGTAGCTCAGGGCTGGAAGGTGCACTTATGAAGGTTGTACTGTGCACTCACGGTGCCTATGGTGCACTCTACGGAATATGCACGGTGCACTTATAAAAGCTATACGGTGCACTCATGAAGGGTTTACAGTACACACTCTACGGTACTTACATGACACACGGGTTGACTTAACTCTCACAGACCCACATCGCTTCTGAGGGTATTTACACCGTGTTGGTAAATGTCAAGTATCTTAAATTCAAAGTGATATTTATTGTATATCTCCCTCACACCGCTGTTGTTGTGACAGAATTAATTGCATCAGCTGCCAGGGATCTACAGGACCGAGGACAAGTTTCTTACACCAGAAACTTATTTTTTATGAAATCTAAAACCTTTTTGCTAATTTTATATCAAGAAACTGAAGCACTTTAGTCTTAAGACGATAATCTGATGGCGGATTTGATGCGAATATTATTAGCATTTTTGTAATCGAAGCATTTTACCTGTGTGTGTGGTGTTTACTGGTTGGTTTTGGTGTTAATTTAAAAAAAACCCAGAATATTCAAATCTCGGTCATAACTGTTAAAACGTCAAGGTTCCTCTTCCTACAGCCAGCAAGGTACAGTAAAGCCACATCTCACCTAGCTAAGAGGTGGTATATGTCTTCATTTATCACCTGCCTCTGCCCCGTTAAACACACAAACACACATATTTTATGGGAGTGTGACACAACACGTCTTTTTTAAGTCTGTCATCACACATGTCTAGTCACGTCTTCTATTATAATGTAAACACAGTACAGTATTGTATGATCATGGTTCATTGTATTTTGTATTTAATAACTAACACTAAAACTCTGAGCTAAGTAATAATCTGTAGGTGACTGAAGGCGTCTACCTTCTTTGTATGGCGCTGAAAATTTATTCTACATACTCGAGGTATTCTGTCTCACACTCGAGGTCTTCTGTCTCACACTCGAGGTCTTCTGTCTCACACTCGAGGTCTTCTGTCTCACACTCGAGGTCCTGTCTCACACTCGAGGTCCTGTCTCACACTCCAGGTCCCCCTATCATTTTTTTCACCCCACGCCTCCTGCCACTCTCACATCCCGGGTCCTGTCACTCACAATTCCACGCCTCCTGTCACCCACACACACACACACAAGGCCTCCTGTCACACATCCTCACAGCTCACCACATTGTAGGAGGTGTCTTAAGCATCTGATACAAGAACAACACCAGGAGAATGAGTTACCACTGCCATTACCTTATAACTTAACCTAACCTAATCGAGCCTAACCTAACCGAACCTAACCTAACCGAACCGAACCGAACCGAACCGAACCGAACCGAACCGAACCGAACCGAACCTAACCTAACCTAATCTTACGTGGGTGACGCAAGAACACTGCTCGATTCTGTAACAATACCAAGGCCGAACATCTGGATCACCTGAAGATTACAAACCCCAGTTTATAATCCCCTTAACATTAACCACCGTAACAGGTAGGGTGTTAGGGTGAAATTAGCTGAGGGTGGGGTGCTCACCTGGACACTACGCCTTTCATAATTCGACGTCTAATCACATGGGCAGTTAACAAGATAGCGAGAGTGAAGGATAGCGAGAAAGGAGGATAGCGAGAAAGGAGGATAACGAGGAAGGAGGATAACGAGGAAGGAGGATAACGAGGAAGGAGGATAGCGAGAAAGGTGTATAACGAGAAAGGAGGATAACGAGGAAGGAGGATAACGAGGAAGGAGGATAGCGAGAAAGGAGGATAGCGAGGAAGGAGTATAACGAGAAAGGAGGATAACGAGGAAGGAGGATAACGAGGAAGGAGGATAGCGAGAAAGGAGGATAGCGAGGAAGGAGGATAGCTAGGAAGGAGGGCAGGTAGGAAGGAGGACAGAGAGGAAGGAGGATAGCTAGGAAGGATGGGAGCTAGGAAGGAGGACAGTGGAAGAGAGGGGCAGCGGGGGAGGAGGGCAGGGGAGAGCAGCGGGGGAGAAGGGCAGCGGGGAGAAGGGCAGCGGGGGAGAAGGGCAGCGGGGGAGAAGGGCAGCGGGGGGAGCTGATCCGTTGACTCACGTGCAGTCTCTTGTGATTTTTCTTTTAACACGAGTCTAAAATCCTCTACCATAACCTGAACACCAAAGACTCCCAATCCTCCTCTGAAATTTCTATTCGTGTCGCTACATTTCCACTGGGGACTTTAAAAATACCACTAGGATTCTCAGTTCCTCTAAAACGTTAAAATTACGAAGATTCACCACCGTTGACTGGATGAAAGTTAATAATAATTTACAATGCCATGAAAAGGTTTGGAAAAGAATGATTTAAACACATCGAAAGAAAACGGTAATAATTCAGAAGGTAACTGCAGACGTCTTGATATTATATTCCTAGGTTAATGTTTTGAGGAAATACCAGATTAAAAGTAAAGATATTTAGCCTTTACAATAAACTACTGGGAATTATGAATATACCAATAAATAAAAAAAATAAGTCGTAGGGTATATAAATGTGGAAGATAGATTTAATCCTGTTTCTAAGACTACCAAGTGATCTGTGTCCCATAATTCGCATTAAAGTTTGTAATGATTATAAATCTTAATCAACAAGGTAACAGAGACAGCAAAGATAACATTGAAGATACTGTACATGATCAAGCAATAATTATTTCTCTCACTCTTATCGCTATCGAGGTCTGGGATAATTTACCTAACCATATTAAATTCAGTAATAGTGTCAACCAATTCAATATGAAAATGAAAAAGAGGAAATATAGGAAACTAAATTAATGAAAGTCAGAATGTAAGAGCTGGGAGAGGCTGCTTCGTTAACGCCAGACTTAGAATGGTGATAAACTTTACTGGGGGCGTAGAAGACTTTACGTGTGTGTGTGTGTGTGTGTGTGTGTGTGTGTGTGTTTTTTTCTCCCTCCATCATAACGGTGAAGGTTAATGAACCATCAACCACACCAAAACCGTAGTCATGCACATCAATACCGCCACCACTCCAGTGCAAGCCCCAGCAGTCACAGTGGGTGCCCATCCTCTCCAGCTGGTGCAGTCTGCCAAACTCCTGGGTGTAACCATAGGCAACAAACTTGACTGGAAGGCCCATGTAAATAACACAGTCAAGGCAGCCTCGTATCGTCTCTACATGCTACGACGACTTAGGTCACTTGGGACACCCACGCCAGAGCTGAGGACCATCTACAACGCCTTTATTCTCCCCAAACTAACGTATGCGTCACCAGCCTGGTCGTCTTCTCTCAACTCCACCCAACAACGTCAGCTAGAGAAGGTACAGAAAAGGGCCTGCAGAATCATGCTCGGCGCAGAATACTCCGGCTACACCAAGGCTCTCTCCACCCTGGAAATGCCATCCCTCAGTGACCTCCACCACCAAGCACTGGAAAGGTTTGGCAGTGGACTACTGCACCACCCTCTTCATTGCCACCTCCTGCCCCCCACCCAACTCGCGCAGTCCGCCACTACAACAAAATTCAGCCCATAAGAGCCCGCACCGATAGATATAAGAACAGCACCATCCCATCTATTGTTAAAATAATAAACAACTCCTGATTTATGTACTGCACAGCCCTGTAAATGTATTCAATGCATATTATATCATTATGTCTAAATCAAATGTAAGTCTGTATATTTTCAGCTACTTGCTGCAACTCTATTAATAAACCGTTTATTATTATTATTATTATTATTATTACACCACTTAAACACACACACCACACTCAATTGACACACTACACTTACATAAGCCCATACAAAAGAAATAGTCATACAAACTATACAATACAGAACAGTATTTTGAAATACAGGTATAACGAATTGCTGTCCAGGTGAGAAGGATTTACCTGTCTAAATAAGGGCTCTCCTGAAGATTAGCACCCCCCAGGTTAATCCACCAGATGATCCAACACCCTAAAGCTATCTGGGAGGGTTATGTTATATGGGCATTAGGGTGGTTAATATTATGGTGAAGTAAGCTAGGGTGGTTAATCTTAAGGTGAGGTAAGCTAGGGTGGTTAATCTTAAGGTGAGGTAAGCTAGGGTGGTTAATATTAAGGTGAGGTAAGCTAGGGTGGTTAATCTTAAGGTGAGGTAAGCTAGGGTGGTTAATCTTAAGGTGAGGTAAGCTAGGGTGGTTAATCTTAAGGTGAGGTAAGCTAGGGTGGTTAATCTTAAGGTGAAGTAAGCTAGGGTGGTTAATCTTAAGGTGAAGTAAGCTAGGGTGGGTAATCTTAAGGTGAGGTAAGCTAGGGAGGTTAATCTTAAGGTGAGGTAAGCTAGGGTGGTTAATCTTAAGGTGAGGTAAGCTAGGGAGGTTAATCTTAAGGTGAAGTAAGCTAGGGTGGTTAATCTTAAGGTGAAGTAAGCTAGGGTGGGTAATCTTAAGGTGAAGTTAAGTTAACGGACCTAGTTAAAATGTCTCCGTAATAGTTTTGATGTTATTTTGGGATGTTAAATTTGTGTTCTGGTTCAAGTTAAACAATTACGGGCATTCTTACATCTTCAGTTTGCAGAATATACATCTTTATAAACCTGGACCCTGATGTGAAAATTAGGATCTGGTGGGAGAATGAGAACATGATATAAGAAAACAGGACAAAAATTATGGTGATCAAATAAAATGTGAGTATGGTGGGGGAGGGGTGAGGTGCGGCAGGTGGGGAGCAGTTTAGGGCAGGGAGAGTCCCAGCAAGCAACTGAGCAACTTCAGCTGTTGAGCCAGTATAGGTGAGGACAACGTGCAGGTCGGATGTGTAGCTCCGCGTCTCTCTCTCTCTCTGCATGCCTTAACTCTCCGTAAAGGGATTGGGATCAGTTTTTTCAGCCAGCTCACCGTCAACCAGCGTGTGTAGCAACGTAAGTGTTGGTTATCTGTTTGCTGTGCTGAAGATGTGACTGATGATGTAAATATGGGAGATGTTTTATTCCACAGAGATGAATGTTTATTTTCTATTCTGCGCCATCACAATACTTACCTAATACTTCACTTGTTGTTGGGAAAAAAAGTTGGCGAAGAGGAACTCGGTAAACAAGAGTAAAATTAAAAAAAAAGTGCTACCGAGAAATATTAGCACAAGTTCAGACTTCAGGATAGGGAGTTCTGAACACATTAAAAGAAAGAATGAACATCGCGAATAACGTCCACAGACTAAAGAAAACAGGAGACTGGTGAATCACATTATAGCTGAACGATGGATATATCAGTCTGAGACGAGGCTGGTGATTATGGAATGCTCGGTCATCAATTTGTCTCATTGGTTATTATTAAACACTTACGAGAGGAAAAGAGGAGTTACGTGGAGGGCCGTGGTTAAGAGACACGAACACAACATCGGTGAGGGTGAAGGAGGCTGTAGACAAGAGGAACGGATTTGAAAAATTGACGCCTCAATTTTCGAGAATCACTTAAGAGTAAAGAAAACTGTCAGCCAACTCCTATTATATTTTATCATTAACTTCCTGAAACGTAATATTTTTAACGCTTTTTGGTTATTTGAATCATTCAAAAATACCGCCAAATGCTGTACAGTAGCTAAAACAACTATCTGTGCATACTTTGTGGGAAACAATATGAGACCATGGACGATAAATAATGGTATATGAGGGCTGTCACTGGTCACACGTAACATTTCGGAGCATATCGACCCCCACCTGCACAGATAGTTGTCTTAGCTACTGTACGTCTTACCAGTTGAGTCGGTTCAAAGTTTCCAAATTCTTCCCTAAGCCTTTCTGAGAAAAACTGAACAGAGTCTAACAGAAGGACGGTAGATTCTCCTAAATCCCCCAACTGAGGACAAAAGACTTTGACTTGAGATAAAAATGAGGAAAGAAACTACTTTTTAACACCTAAACCTTAATGATTTATGGTGTGGTGGCTGAGTGGATAAAATGCTCGTCTCCTATCTTGAAGGTCTCTGGTTGGTGGTCGGGGCACCCCCAATTTACCCAGCAGTAAATGGGTACCTAACATTATGGCTGGCGAAGTAAAGTTGGTCGAGTCTGTAGCAGCCCACACTGCCTCCCTGTGTATCCCGGAGGTTCAGTATTTAATGTGCTGTATACACGCTGAAGCTCAGTAATAACGAAATAACTAGAACAAATGGCTTTAAATTAGATAAATTCCGATTCAGAAAGGATATAGGCAAGCACTGGTTTGGTAATAGAGTTGTGGCTATGTGGAATAGGCTACCGAGTGCTATAGTAGAATCGGGGACGCTAGGGAGCTTCAAGACGAAGTTGGATAGGCACATGGAAGTGCTGGGATGGGTGTGAAAGGGATCTGCCCTGTATGGGCCAGTCGGCCTCCTGCAGTATCCCACTTTCTTATGTTCTTATGTTCTTATGTTCTTATGTTCTTATGTTCTTAACGGAGCAGCGTCTTGAGTCTGGTACTCACTTCCGCTTAAGGACCTGCAAGTAATAACCAACAAGGGTGATTGAGCCACTTGGCGTAACATAACCAAACTGTTACTTTACGTTACCACAGATGACTAGCGTGACGATCTAACATCATTAATCCAGGTGGGGAGCGTGACCACAAATAAGAAGCGGCCAAAGTGACTGATTACAACACACCTAGTGACCTAAATTAAGCTCAACAGGTAGTTAATGTGGGTGGGGTGAACGTGTCACTGTTATAAGGCCACACACTCCTTGCCCTTCACACTGGTATCTTGGCCCCATGATATCTTAACAGTTGGGGAAGTGGATGGAGGTAAAGTACAGTCATGTCCACACAGTCTCCTTTTGTACTGTATCCACATTGCCCCTAACGCATCCACACTGCCCCTAACGTATCCACATTGCTCCTAACATATCCACATTGCCCCTAACGCATCCACACTGCCCCTAACGTATCCACATTGCTCCTAACGTATCCACATTGCTCCTAAAGCATCCACACTGCTCCTAAAGTACCCAATTTCAATCGCAGAAATTCAAAGTATATGGCCAGTTGACCACATTTTATACAAAACAGAAATATCGCTAAGGTAAAAATATAATTGCTCAAGAATGCACAATAGATAACATTATTCAAACAACATCGAGGCCTGACAGACAAACAATGAGGCCAGGCAAGCATAAACAATGAGGCCGAGCAAACGTAAACAATGAGGTCCTTATTGTATATGTGTGCCTGACCTCATTGTTTACGTCTGCCCGGCCTCATTCTTTACGTCTGCCTGACCTCATTCTTTACGTCTGCCCGGCCTCATTCTTTACGTCTGCCTGACCTCATTGTTTACGTCTGCCCGGCCTCATTCTTTAGGAGGCCGTAAACAATGAGGACAACTATTTTCCTTCTTGCTAAAATAATAAATAATTTACCACAAAATTCAGACAAAACATTAACATAAAAATTATACAAAACTGAATATACTCAGGTCGAGAGTACAGGATACATAAGTTTACATACACTGTACTCCTAGAGAGAACTAGATAAGAGGTAAATAAGTGGGTGAGTGTATGTATGTGTTACAGCCTGGTCACACCAAGGTCGGAACACACAACATACACACATACTTAACTCTAACTCTCTCCACGGGTACAGTATATATAATATTACATAACCTGTACTCTCGACTCTGGACGTGTGTAACTTTCAATAAGAGTTTAAATGACGTTGTATTTATTATGTATGTTGCTCTTAACTCTTGAATTATATAATTATATCACAATAATAGAAAAAAAATATAAATAAATTCCTAAATAACGTAATATTCCCATCAAACTAGAAGGTTATATTAAAGAGTAAATCCACATTCTCTTCGATCTGGACCTGACGATATATTTAACATCTATGAACTTGAGATTGGTTAAGTCACTTTACTCTCCCGTTATAATGTTCATTAAAATGTACCAAGAGGATGATTTTATTACAATTTCACTTTTGTTGTGGTAAAATATAAGACACACAGACTTTGACTTCTGTTAGCAGGAAAGACTTGGTGACGGAGATACCTCACGCTAATTGTATGGATGATAGCAACGAAAGACCAAGTTAAACGCAATCTAACGCCATTAGACTCGGAGGATGTTAAACAACCTGATACACCGCTTCCATCCCGAGGAACCTGTCAGGTATGCTGCTCCTTAACCCTGGCTGGTAATAGCCCCTTCCAAGTCGGTAGCGCTACATCACTGACCATAGAATCACCATAAGTGGACAATGTGGGGTATAAGAAATTAACATAAGTGGACAAGTGGCGAGATGGTGAGTTCTGTAAAGTAATTGTTTCTGCCACTTTAAATTTAACAAAATAGCTTTCTAATTCTTCTTACTTGAAATGACAAGAACTATCTGCACCGAACTACTGACTTAAATGCTAAAGACTAGAAAGTTGAATAAGGAAGACGAGACACAGAGTAAATGAATACGGAACTGTTGAATTTTATGCTTTGTGAGGTGGTCGATGACATTGGTTTTGATCTGATTTGAGTCACAGTTTAAGAGAACATAGACTCGGTCAGTGGATTTACGAACTGTGGTAAGGAAAAAATTAATATAGAAATCTTTGTTCTTCAATCCATAAAAGAACTAAGAAGTGAATAGAGGTTTAAACAGTACAAACACCAACATACCAACGTGTATACAGGCCAAAAACAGACTTCAAATATATTACTTCACATCATTAAACAAGAGATATATTCACATCCTCTGATAAAACAACAAACACAACAGAATGTCTCGGTACTATCCCTGGCGTGTCCTCAGGATGTCCCCAAGTGTCCCTGGTCAGACACACACCTGACTGAACCACAGGTGTGTCAGGATGAACAACACAGCCACATTATGTATCGTGCTAACCCTCTCTCAGTGATGATGATACCGTAACACACACATATAGCCCCTGTACGTACGCGTGTGTTTAATATATCAAAATACAGTTTTAATATATGGAATTTTAGATTAATAAAGTTAAGAAAATAAACAAACAGAAAGATTCATCAGTTCTCGGAGGCAGAGGAGCTACAGGTTGGAACAGTGGCAAAACGGATGTCCTCCCTCCCAGATGTACCCAAGTATGTAGCTGGTTCAGTAACCTTGAGAGACAGTGACTCTTCCTCCTCCCTGATTACGCATTCGGTCTTGCTCTCTACCCCGTGGTGCTTGTGCCAGCGGCTGAAGCACCATTTAGATCTTCCTCTCTACCACCACGACCACCACCCAGTGTCCGGATTCGTAAAGATTCTAAAGGTCAATCTTGTCTCAGTGCAACTTTCATGTCAGTTTTGGACATTAAATTTCGACCTCAGTTCAACACAGCCAGGTAAATGCATTCTTACATCTCCATCTACAACGAAACTTAAACGCTTTGAACTGTAATAATCTTGCGTCATATACTGGACACACATCAGATCTTTCGTTCTACAGTCCGCGTTTGTCTATTGTCTTGTCTGGAACTCATGTACGACATCTATACCAACTGCTTGTAATGATCCGCAACACAGGGAATATCAACGCTGAAAATCAAATCAACATAACTGAATATAAACAACTAAACGCATCTCAAACCTACTGTAGTATGACGAAATTTTTTTTTGTGATAATATTAAGGTTAAAAATGCTGACTGGCTTACATACCCCTCTTGTGCTGATACTTAATGAACAGCGTAAAATTCCCCATATCCAGTGACCGCTCTACAATGCATATAGGTCGAACACGCCGAGTTTCCTCACAGCTACTCACCACTACTGTCTCTATAACCAACCTGAGAATCTGATGATGATTGTCTTTCTCAACACTTTTATGCCACAAGGATTATAATACATTAAAGATCATAGTAATTTCATACATGTTATTAAATCTGAAATCTGGAAAACTAAGCGATTAATGACGATACCTGTTGATACATTTTACAACCACCAATTGCTCGAGTTAAGTTTTCCAGCCCCGTAAACTATCGCTCGGCAAGATGAGGTTCCTGCAACATTACCAACCTCAACGTCTCAGTGTCAGATAACTACAGAGGAGAAATTGCCAGCGCCGCCTCTCTCGACATTAGACAACAGGATCCCCAAATACCATCCTACAGTTTGGGGCAGCCGCTAATTATAGGATCCTTGATTCTCAATTGTCAAGGTAGACGTGTTACCAGACAGCCGGTGTAATATAAGGCCCAGAGAGGTGACAAAAGGACTCCCTCAGACTGAAGGCCAACTCTTACAGAAGTGCTCGTAATAGGTGGTGGTGGTGTGGCAGAGTAGAGCACTAGGTCAGGAGATGAGACGGGTAGTGATGAATATAAACAACTAAACGCATCTCAAACCTACTGTACTATGACGAAATCTTTTTTTTTGTGATAATATTAAGGTTCAAAATGCTGACTGGCTTATTATACCCCTCTCGTGCTGATACTTAGATGAACAGCGTCAAATTCCCCATATCCAGTGACCGGAGCCCTTGACACTGGTAGTACAAGTTCATCAATGGTTATACAATAGTGAAGTCTGCATGTGAATACCATTGTGGTTAACGATGTGACTGGCGTGTGTGAAGTAAGTCGAGAATCAGTCAGGTGTTTAGTTAAGACAACACAAGACTAGGACCTCCGGGTGGACAGAAGCAACATGGCATAAAAATGTAACTTCGTAAATAATCAAATATTAAAAATCAAATACAGAATACCACAGGAAGGAGGTTATTGGTGTAAGATATTTCTCTCCCAGTAACTCTGATGATGGTAGATTTGAGGTAAAAACAGAGATAAAATAAAATTTATATTAAAGTTACCAGACAAGAATAATGTGTGTGTGTGTGTGTGTGTGTGTGTGTGTGTGTGTGCTACGAGAGAGAGTTCAGTGTAGGTAAACCAGTTCACGCTCCAAACCAGTCTTCCCTTACCTCGAAACACGACCCTTACACAACCACCTCCAGCTGAGACCTCTTAACGAGAACCAGCTAACGAGAACTTTTAGCAGATATTTCTTAACGAGACCTCGAAATAAAGATTCACCAAATTCGAGACCTCTTTGTAGCGATACCTCTTAACAATGGGACCCCTTAGTAACGAGACTCAAGCTACGAGGTCACTTTGCAACGAGACGCCTTAAAACAACGAGAATTTTATCAACGAGACCCAAACAGCGAAACGTTAATAATAACCATTCCAATTACGAGACCCCCAGGACATGGTGCCGCACGTACACCACACCAGCACTTGTTGCAGGTGTTCCGGACGCCCAGACAGGTGCAGTGGACATACAGTAAACAAGACATACGTATATAAACAGGATAAAAAAAACAAAAGGGTAACAGACCTCCATAATTACTGCCACGTACGAAGAAGAAGAAGAAGAAGGGAGAGGTCACTTACCCATTCTCCCTACTAACGTAACAATATCACCATCTGTCGGGTTCGTAAAAGTCATCTTACAGAGAGGTTGTTATTTTTACGATGTACAGTCAGCATAAAATGTGTCTCTACCCCTGCCGTGCGTAACAATCTGAAACATCGGGTGAAAACGAGCAGTGGATATTATTGGGTTTATATGGTAGTGTGACTATAAACGTATTCCATATCTATTTCGTCTTTATGTATTATATATGTAACTTTATCTTGGCTGTGTGTAGAATATAAAACGTCCTTTAATACGTGTAAATACATAATAAGATATAGTAATTAATTAGATGAAAAATGACGAGCTGGTGCATATGATAAAGTTCACTCTCCCTATTATGTTTCGCGAACCACCTCAGTGAGACCCAAAGCATCTTGTGTGGTGCTTATGGACGAATCATATGGCGGCAACTACTAAGTCATGTTCGATTAAATGAATAAAACCTCGACTTAATGTTCGTATCTTTTAATCCTAGACCACCAATATGTATGCATTTGTTATTTCCCTTAAGCAAGCTAATAATCCTACTAACAGCTATTGTCGCTACCATATATATAAAATTAATAATTAAATAATTCCTTAGGATAAATTTAAGTAAAAAAAAAATCCTTGGAAACATAATATACATTCACGATTTATTTTACTCTCTTTAATTTCCTATTCAACACTAAAGTAACACATCGCACAGGAATGTTTCTGGTATTGATTGATACATTTGTACCACATATTGAGCAAGGAAGGATTTTCTTAGGCCAAGAGGTAACCAACCCATCCGATACATCAACGTGTATGAAGTTATTGAGTAATTTTTTTTTTTTATGCCACCGGGTCATGAGGTCTAGATACTTCTTTTTGCTGACTGTACACACTGTACTAACCAAGCTACTCTGTATGTTATAGTTTCTAAAAGTACATCTCAATGTTTATGTTTCTGCAAAGTACATGTGTTTTTGTCAAGTATATATTCTTTTAAGAGTACCTGAAGTTAACCATATATTCTCTTGAGTACATTTTTACTTAGACATTTCCCCAGAGTACATCTATGTTATTTCAGTACATTACATACACTTTTAAACGGCACCAATTTACTGTGGTCTTGGGTAGAATTGTGCTGCACTCTCCACACCTCAGCGGCTGTTATGATACATTTGTGGCTTGTTTTTGTCATCACCTCTCATGCGCCCACACACACACACACAACAGAGCACGACCCGCCACGCATAAATAAATACGAACGTTCATACATGCATTAAACATACAAGCACATCAACACAATTACATGTGCTGTATACATATAGTAAAGGCAACGGTATAGTATCAACTACAAGTGACGCCTCTTAACGGTTAACAATACTGTACGACTATGTCGGTGCGATGGTAAGTGTAGTCAGTCTATAGAGAGAGAGAGAGAGAGAGAGAGAGAAGGCAGTGAGGAGGTGGTAAGAGTGCAAGAATCAGGTTCACCCAAAGTGTCTTACGATCAAAATTCCTCATGGCTGAAAAAGCAACAATACATCTAATTGTTTGACTTTTAAAAGGTTATGCAAAAATGACATCGATATTATACCGAGTATCTCTACCTTAACTATTTACGTTCACATAGCACCAGTTAGGAGACGAATATAACGTTGGCAATCTCACCCCCAAAAAAGATTCTCTACCCTAAAGTTGTCCCCTAATTGGTGCTTAGGGAATGTATTAATTTTTTTAAGAATGACTCAAATTGTTAAGTGCATTTTCATACCTTTAGCTACGAGGAATATTTATCATATGAGCCAGGGAGATCCCGGTACCAAGCTTTACAGTACGTTGTGAGGATTAGTATTGCAGGAGTATGTCCCGGTTTCAAAACAGTCTACCGTACAGTGTGTGTTAGTTGAGTGTGTCGCAGAGAACGAGTCAACTTATCATCATTAATTAACTAGGACTACGTTAAGATTAGTTTCACCCATCTTATTTCCCTTGACGACTGAAATCTAACTGTACTTGGGGGTCAGCTTAGGTTAGCGTTAGGGTGGCTTAATCGTGAGGGGTAATAATCTGGGGGGAGCTATTCTTCAGATGATCAATTAGCTAAACGAACTAGATGATTTAAGGCTTTGGCAAAATTAAATGAGAAGAATTATTAAACGGAACCATATTTCCCATTATTAAACACACTACAATAAACACACTACCATAAGCACACTACCATACATACTGAGTTTATCCTTCTCCCGATGCAACACTGATTTTATCACCTCCTGGTCACCAGATGCTAGACGCGCCAACCATGCATCTCCAGCGCCTTTTTAGTATTTTCCACACCAATAAGACACACCCTGGTACAATCCTTCTACGTGTATAGTTCTCAGCACTTGCTCAAAAGGCTTTATACGTTATTTCACCCTCCAAAACGTAAGACTAATCGCATGTGTTCTACAGAAGTGGACGTCAAGAACAGTTCTCATCGATGTGTTAAATAAGTATTCCCTCCCCATAGGTCCTACTCCTTGACCAACATGTGTCCTGAGATGAAGCGAGGGGCCTTCCTGCTGGTGGTATTACAGATCCTAGCAAAGACGTCTGGGTTCCTGATACAGAACTCTGATGCGCCACAAATACTTAGATCAACGACTCCAAGCCCTCTCACCCTCACACCTGACATCCATAAAAACTACACAACGGTAAGGTTACAACACCACTTTCTGAATCCTCTGTCTAACACGAATGAAGATGGACACTTTCTCACCTCGAATTAAAATACTAATAACACTTAATGAATAGAAGAAATAGAACTTTTAGAGAAAGAATTACTCTGGAGCCACCATGAAGAGGGAAACAAAGTGTAGCCACGTTAAAGAAGAAAGAAATAGGCCAAACATCATCACTACTCCCAAAAGTAATACAACTACAACTACTTTTACCAATATCAAAACTATTACTACAACTTCTACTACTACCAGGAATTGTTGATACTAAAACACCTACTACTACTACTACTACTAATACTATAGCTTTTTTTTTTTTTTTTAATAATGGCCTCCAGCCTCCCCCAATAGCCACACCTTCGCCACCATTTAATTACCTTAATATTAAATATCCTAATACATAAGTAGCTATCCTATCTGTGTTAAATTAGTTGAGCCGCAGATCTATGCGGCATTCAGTGACAGTAGCCTCATAGTCAATATCTGCAGCAGTTGTCGGAGTTGGGGCAGAAGCTCTCGTTCCCCTGAGGCAGAGCAAAGCCGACCGAAGGAGAGAGAAAGACAGTCGACATCTCATCCAGGCTGTAACATAACTTCTGGGCTGCTGCTTCTGTTCGGAGATCACCTCCGCGAGTCTGGCGTAGAAACATCTTGCACTTGGTCCCATCCCACCAGAGGTTGTGAACACTAGAGGAGTGAAGCTGCCTTGATCAACGTTTTGAATTCTCTCCCCATATGCCCTTCTCTTGTCGTTCTCGTTCCTCCTATGTGCAGCATCGAGAGCTAGGTTACGGTGACATGCGGCCATGGGATCAAAAATCCTGATGTCGAAGAAAGCTCGCTGTCCCCGCGTCCAGAATCCTCGAGCACTGACGTCCACACGGGCTTCGTTAGATGTGTTTGAAGTCCTGTGTTGGAAGATCTCACCATCCAATGGAAGGAGGGTCGGTTCTACCATGACATCCCGGCAGATTTCCTTCAACATATTTGCTGTGAGGTCCCTTACCTCGTCATGCCTCATGCATATGAAGCCCCCCCTTCTTGCACACCATGGCGTGATCGCCATCATAGGAAGAGCCACACACGCATTGGGAGGGCAAACCTTCTACTGGCCGACCGTACCTTAGAGCAATGGCATCTGTAAATTCTTGTTTATTAAGACTGAAACCATTTGCCCTTATCGGTAACGTAGTTAACCAGTTCGAGGCGCCCACCTCCTGCGCTATAGCTACCTTTTTTTTCAAATTTTCTGGTACCTGCAGCAACAGTTGCTGCAACTTATCATTTTGGCTGTGCTGTCGATCTGTCGTAATGGACCTACGAATCTTATTTACTTCATTGGTGTCCACTTCCCCTGTTGCATTCTGGGCTATTATGTGGTCCGTGAGGGCTGCCGTGGGCTTAAGTGAATTTTGATGTTCAGTGGCAGCAATCTCCTCTGGATTTGTCAGTCCCAGCCCTCCCAGTCTTCATGGAAGTGCAAGAAGTGCTCTTTCTGCTGGGGTTAAGTCAGGGTGTTTCACTAATTTAGGAATGAAATTGACACTGATAACTTCTTCCAGAGGGTGGAGGAGGGGTCCGATATCAGGGATAGTACGCATCAGGTAGTTTCAACGATGCTTGACTCCATGGGTGAATGCAGCAAAGGCAGCATGTGGCTCTGTGTTAGCAATCTCAGACAGAGCTTGGATTTCACTAACCCACTCATTCACCTTTCCCGCTATGTACTCGGTCTTGAAGTCCGCAGTGCCAATTACTGCGCTTAGATGTCTTTGGCCGTCCTTATTTATTTTGACCTCACTTCCGCCAAAAACCTCCAATGCCCGTTCGTAATGTTCTGGCTTCACGATGAGGAAGGACTTGCTGGCGTTTGGGTGGTACCCTATTTGTGGACCTCGCGATGTTACCAAGTCCCACCACTTTTTGATGCCCTCCACTTTTCCTGCTCCTGTAAGGTCATCAGCATATGCCACTTGTTTGACCTCAGTTGTTTCAAATTTTATTTCTTGTTGGAGCACTGATAGGCCAATTGCATACATTGCCATTGCAACAGGGTCCCCCTGTGTTGTTCCCTCGGTCGACTGTAAGATGGTATCACCTCTTAGAGCCTTGTTGTTTACTATATAGAGGTCTGATGGATTCCTATACGAATTTTCAACATACATTGCAAAGCTTGGACACTTGATCTTGATGTTGTGCAGTGCAGCCTTGCGGTTAAGTATGTTGAATGCATTTGAAGCATCCACCAGGAGAACGGCCTCACAATCACGCTGCTCAAATATCAGTCTCATGGCGTGAATGGCGGCCTCCCCGCCAGCCTGGTGGCCAGCACACACTTGTAGGTTCCCTGCTGCTGCCCTGACATCATCCTTTACCACCTCCATTATGCATTTTCCGATGATCCGCCTCAGCACTTCCCCCACCCCTATAGGCCTACATCCTGGTTTCTTTTCCAGAGGAATAAGGCGGCAGGCCGTCAGGGCCTGGAGGTGATGGCAGCAAGAGGATGCAAGCTTTCTTGCAAGGGCGGCAATGGCAGTGCAGAGATCGCTTGCTACAGGGCCAAACTTGTTTGTGCTGAGGATGACTCTCCAACCGTTTGCATCCAGACCTGAAGGGCCAGCTCCTCCTCGAGTCTTCAGTGCCTTTTTCCACACCATCTCTCCTGTTATTTTCTCGAACAGGACAGCGTTTGGTGGGGTATAGACACCCTCGAACCTGATGCCTTCTTCGTCGCTTGCAGGGGGATGTTTCTCTTTCAGTAGTTTTAATGTCTCTCTGTTTATTGGCATAACCCCACCGGAGGATTCCTCTGTGAGAGATCTTACCGCCAGAGACACTTTTCCCACGCGCATTTTATTTCCAAATTTTCTTGCCACGTCATCGGTGTTTTGCTTTCCGTCACCCGTAATTTTTAGTCTCTGCTGCAGTGTTCTTGCTTCACATAGATCATCAAGGGCCCCAGTCTGCCACATTGCCAATCTTCTCTTCATTGCTGCCACATTTTCTTTGTGCTTAGTCTTTGTGTGTGTCCTCTGAGAAAATAGATGTGGTATTATTGCCAGTATTTGAAGAGCTAAAGGGGCGAGGAAGCGGTCCTGAGTGTAATCAGTCATGAGGCGAGTCATCTCCCGAATCATTTCTTTGGTGGCCGCACACTTGGGTGGTTTAAATAAGTTAGTGGGCGACCACTTGACAATTTCTGAATAGGTTTCTTTGACCTATATGTCTGCATTTTCCATCGACATGCCATTCCACTGAGGTGGCTGTCTCTCATTCTCCTCGTGGACATCTGCTACTAAGGGAGCAGCATTTATTAGTACTGCATTTTCGGGTTGAGTAGACTCACTACTATCATTTCGGATATCATCGGGTGGTTGGGTCCCGGCGATATCCACTGTGGCCACCTGTGTCGGCCCCCTGCGACGTGGGTTCCGACACTGGTCTCGCTTCTTGTAATCCACACATGGTCGGTTGTTTCTCGCACAAACACTACTACTACTACTACTACTACTACTACTACTACTACTACTACTACTACTACTACTACCACCACCACTACACCAACACCACAAAATCTTCCCTTAATAATCACCACGTTAAACCTCCCATACTTGTTGCGATATGACTATAATATTATTTAGTCACACAAGTGTCTCTTCACTATCACAAATCATCATCGAAAACTATCATCTGTCACGTGATAAGAACAGCTAATCACGTATCCCCTAACACCTGGCCAATTAACACCTGATATACTGTATACGCCAATTAGCAGATACACTGATTACCTGATACTGGAGTTAGTAAGGTAAAGAAATTCAGAATAAGGTTAGGTTGTCCACGTATAGGTCACATGGTATCTAGCACGCCGTGTGTGTGTGTGTGTGTGTGTGTGTGTGTGTGTGTGTGCGTAAGTGAGGGATATAGAGAGACACCTGTATACGTGGTAGTCCCAGCAGGTGGTAGTGAAGTAGGACAGGTGGTAGTAAAGTAGGGCAGGTGGTAGTAAAGTAGTGCAGATGGTAGTAAAGTAGGGCAGATGGTAGTAAAGTAGTGCAGATGGTAGTAAAGTAGGGCAGGTGGTAGTAAAGTAGGGCAAGTGGCATAGTAAAGTAGGGCAGGTGGTAATAAAGTAGGGCAGATGGTAGTACAGTAGGGCAGATGGTTGTAAAGTAGGGCAGCCAGGGGATGGTATCAATACTATATATTACAGTAATATCAACTGATTAAATTCTCACGTATTGGTATTCACTGATTGGATTTTATGAATATTGTTAACATTATTAGCGCGTCTCAACACCCATAAGGTCTTTAAACAGTGAACCCCCCCCCCCACCCACCCAAGTCCGTTCTTACAAATACTGTAGAAAACTAAACACTAAAGGTTGACACATACATCTGCCGCTTACTCTCATAACTAATACAAAAGTCAGTTTATTAAGTCCATCTCGAACTTCATATTCATTCTCTTACATCAAAATATATATTCTCTTATTCTCCCCCCTCCCCTTTCTCTTCACAATCCTCTTTCACTTCCACTTTAAATTTCAGTTGAAGTGATAGAGTTAACCGTATTTGCACCCTTTAATATAGCTGATGCTTTTACTGTTAAACTTAATACACTTTTAAAATATCAAAAGTCCTTATATTCACCTGGAAATTTAATGAACTACTATGTGTACGTTTTGACGATTCATAACACCTTAAGATGATGACCTATGTTAGTATATTTTTCTCAGACAGAGGAAAGTTATTTGAGTCATGTCATGTTGATAAAACCTACTTTTACTTTCTCACAATTAAATTTAAATTTATAATATGATATGAATTCCTCTGCACCGTAAGAAAACCCAACAAGAATTAAAATAAATACTTCAGGTATGAATTGTGGGCATCGTATTCATGTCCTTGCATATGCAAAGACACTGGTACTACATCAAAAGGTTTCTTCCCCAGCAGCCAGACCTCGGGAGTGTAGGTCAGCCACCCAACGAGACTGGCTCACACCCACCAGTAACAGCCCAGAAGGCCAGACCAGTGAGTGACAGACAAACTCTTGAGAGAAGAGTTCTAGATGAAAGATCTCTTACCAGACAAGCCTCAAACATACCAACTCTTGAGAGAGAACCCCGTACAAAAAAAATGGCGCTGCTAAGGCCTCAGCTGTGGAGGACCTTGGGGAGACAAGTGACATCCGCTAAAAAGAATGTGAAACGCAGTAAACCAATGAGGAAGAAGCTAGGTAGAGTGTCCTACAAATACATTATTGCACCCTGTTTTACTTTAACTGTCGTTTTCTATATAAAATTTAGTGTAGTGCCCCCCCAAAAACAAAATATTTCACCTTGCCCTGTATTTCACTATAATTGGCCTTTTTCTCAAGAGAGTTAAAAGAATGTAGAGTAGACTAATATCAGATTCTTTTAACCTCCTTCACCTCAGTTGCTGTTTTACTCAAAAAAGCTAAAAAGGGTGAAAAGAAAAAAGTTCAATTTCATCCAAGTGGCTATCTTTCCCTCATAATCTCATCTCCACACTAAAACAACAGCTCATATCCTTCTTTCAGGTGATTTAAAACAGTCTACAGTGTGGTGATGTTAGGGTCACTAGGGAGGACGAAGACAAGACAGCTAATTTTCCTGTGACATTAGAATCGAACCACTTTTTAATAACCTAAGCACTATGTTTAATACAGCATGAGCCCTAGTAAGATATTACACTGTACAACATTATATTGCTACAACATTTATCCTGCAACAATCACATTATCTATATTCCAACAACCACATTATCTTACAACAGCCACATCATCTATCTATCTTACAACAATCACATTATCTACCTCGCTACAACCACATTATCTATTTTGCTACAACTACACCATAACAAGAACCACATTACCTTATTTGAGTCGGATCACATCATCTTACAGCCGCATTGTCCATCCTGATAAAACTTGATGACCTTGCTATAAACGCTCTTGATATTAAGGCAAGTTATCTTGTAATCTCCTCACACATGATAGTCTGTTTGGTGAAGACTTGTTTACCCGACGTTATCATCCTGTAAAATTATATTAACTTGTAGGATTATTTATTTCCCAGACGCGGCTTGTGGCAAAACCTACACCGTCACTAGGAAAGTCAGGTACAATGTTGCTCTCGATGGCAGTCAATCCTGTAATGTCATCTTCAGGGTAAGTTCTGTGACATCAGTTAAGAGTGTGTTAGGTCTGTCACATCTGTTTAAGGGTGTGTAAGCTCTGTGACATCAATTTAAGGGTGTGTAAGGTCTGGCACATCAGTATAAGGGTGTGTAAGCTCTGTGACATCAATTTAAGGGTGTGTAAGGTCTGGCACATTAGTATAAGGGTGTGTAAGTTCTGTGACATCAGTATAAGGGTGTGTAAGTTCTGTGACATCAATTTAAGGGTGTGTAAGGTCTGTCACATCAGTATAAGGGTGTGTAAGTTCTGTGACATCAATTTAAGGGTGTGTAAGTTCTGTGGCAACAGTATAAGGGTGTGTAAGTTCTGTCACATCAATTTAAGGGTATGTAAGTTCTGTGACAATAATTTAAGGGTGTGTAAGTTCTGTCACATCAGTTTAAGTTCAATAAGGGGCTCTGTAATATTATTTCTGCCAAATCGAAAGACCTGCCACGTTACACATAGGGTCAAAGTCTTAAGTCATCAGACAACTAGAGGTTCTTTAACACTGCCTATTACAATGTAGAGGATACAGTGTCAGGATAGTACAATGGTGACAAAAGTAGCACAGAATACAGTGGTCATGGATACAATAGACACAAAAGGCGTGACAATCGTGTGTCAATATCACCAGTGCCTCTGAAAACACAACTTTCCTTTCCCGACAGGCAGCAGAGAGGTCAGCCTTCAAGGTGGTGTGTCGTGGTGTCCTGGTGTCAGACTGCAGCCGCGCCCAGTTGCACCTCTCTTCCAATAGCGGCACAAGGCAGTGAGTGGCCAATTTATGTAGCTCTCATTAAATAACACTCCCGTATGTTCGGATTTTTTATTTATTTTTTACTTCGAAGGTGAATCTTGCAGTTGGAGATAACAACAACATCAATAATAATAATAATAATAATAATAATAATAATAATAATAATAATAATAATAATAATAATAATATTAATAATTTTTTCCTAAACATCATCCATAAGTGTCCACCATAATCATAAAAATTACTTGAAAATTAATTAACACACGCACATACACTCACACGTAACTGCCAAAACAAAACAGTGAAACATCCTAACGAGGCCTCCCAACTCAAGCATCCCAAATCCTCCAGGTACTGCGACATGACTACAGCCATCGATGTGCAGCAGAAGGAGCTGACGGAGCTACTGTTGTCCTACAAGGTCTTGGACAACACCAACACCACCTCCCTGGAGACCCCGGCCACCTGCTCCATCATAAGAACACGTGAGTCATGAGCTAGAGACAGTAGAGTGGAAGGGCTTCATTGTGGCAGTGTTTTATTTTAAACCCTGACGGTTTTTGGAGGTTTATTAATGGTTTACTCTGGAGCCTAGATTAAGTTTATTACATACTGGTACGTAGGTTTGAAAAAAAATGATAAATTGTCGTAATTAAACAACCTTACTTTGGGTAATTTATCTGATAATCAGGTTTAGTGAGATTTGGTTTGTTTTCCATAATTAAATGTCTTTTATCTTACAAAAAATAAAAAGCACCTATTCAAATAAACAATTAATTATAAATAATGAGAACAGCATCAATAATAATAATACTTTCTACGGGAGCCAGAAAATTAAATACCTACTTTATAGCTTCACTCTTTTAATATGTAATTCTATGAAACACAATGATGAACAACTCCCAACAACATTCTATTCTGAGATGCTCTTCAATCAGAATCAATGTAAAGTTTTGTACCAGTATTCACTAAAAAAAGAGGAACTTTAGAAAACTTTGTAAAATATCCAGTTCCTGTGAAAACATTATCTCGTAAACTAATGACTCCATCTTCGTCTCAAAGTCACACATTCTGTTTATAATGTGACGTGTGTAAGACTGGAACCACCTTGATGTACGTTTCCCTGCACGACAAGTTTGTTTACAGATGGTACTCTGGTGTATCCACAGAGGGCCCCGGGTACGCCGCCGAGGGCCAGCAGGTGTGTCCCCTCAGTGAGTACAACACAGTTTGGATTACTAAAACAGTCACATGAATTTTAAAAGGATCAGAATAAGTTATTAAAAATTTGCAGTATAATTATTTACATAAGATTCAGATGAAATTCAGTCTTATTGTGAACAATTAAACCAACACTTAACAAAACATCTAATTTGGTCGCCACAGTATCGAAGTAGTCTATCTCCTCCATCAGACAAACTACATTATTTCAATTTCCACATCTGATCTCGACAGACACTGATTTTATCTTGTTTCGTTATACTTGTCTGTGAACCTCTCCTCCTCCCCCCCCCCTCTCTCTCTCTGTTTGACACCCTTACTCAACGTTAATCAACACCCTTTCTCCCCCTCAAGAACCTCTCCTCGCATTCTCTCTAATTCACTCTCTCCCTCCGTATCACCACATCTACCTCTCTCTCTCTCCCTCTCTCTATCTTAGTCCATCTCTCCCACCACAACAAACCCTCCCCAAGACCACCTTCAAACAGAACCATCCTACATAAACAACCTCGACCATCCCGCCCCCCTTCCTCCAGGCTGCGGTACCACCACGGCAGACGCGGAGGCCGGTAACCCACCCCCAAACTACTCCTCCCTCGGACTAGGAACCAATGGAATACCCTTGAATACTAGGATCCAGGGAGGGAAGGATGCGAATATCGGGGAGTGGCCCTGGCAGGTGTACCTGAGGATTAACCTGGATGGTTCTTACCTGTTCTGCGCAGGAACCATCCTATCTCCTCGCTATGTGATGACGGCCGCTCACTGCGTCTACGATTTGTGAGTCTTACCCTAAAAGCCCATTAATCCTAAACTCAAGAGGGTGAGTTTAGAGAATTGGGATCATGGATAAGGCTGAAGGATTGGGGTCATAGGCTTAGGAATAGGTTCATGGATAAGGCTGAAGGACTGGGGTCATAGGCTTAGGAATAGGTTCACGGATAAGGATGAAGGATTGGGGTCATGAGATTAGCATTGGGTTCATGGATAAGGATGAAGGATTGGGGTCATGGGATTATCATTGGGTTCATGGATAAGGATGAAGGATTGGGGTTAAGCAGCTATTACTAAAGACCCGAATTGTTAAGCAGAACTCGAGGCTTCATCCAGTCAACATTCTTCTTTGTATTTAGTATTTAGCTACATGTTATATGCAGTGCCCCAACAGTGTGCTATAACCTATTAATATTGCAAGTCAGGTATGGAGTCATGTAGCTAAGGAGCTAATTATATTACAAATCAGTAAAGTCAAATATTTTGCACAAGTCGGGTATGGAGTCAGTTATTTTAAGTCAGGTATAGTCACCTAGTTTACAAGTCGGGTATATATGGTACCAACTAATTTATCACAAGTCAGTTATATAATGCATCAGTCAATTAACACAGCAGACATATATGAACAAGAGGGAGGTTTGTTTAATAATAAATAATAATAATAATAATAATAATTAACGGTTTATTGAAAGATAATGGCAGCCGGAAGGCTGAAAATATACAGTTACATAATTGGGGAATGGGTCTCTTGATTTACAAATAATATACAAGTAACATAAGTGATACAAATATGATATATAACAACTAGGTGGAGAGAAGTTCAAACTACAGGGCATTTCAACATAGTGACAGAGGTGTGTGTGTGTGTGGTCTCGCCAACAGGGTACTGCAGAAAGGAGACAGGATAAGGGTGGTGGCCTACGAGTACGACTTGTCCAAAAAACGAGACACCCCAAAACAGATGGTTCTCGTCAAGGAAATGTTCGTTCACTCAGACTATGATCCCGACACCCAGGTAGGTTCTTGGTGAGTGTCAGGACGTGTAAGAGCCATTACGTTCCAAGACTTTTCTATGTCATGTATTTAGCTGCTTCAATGGGTAGGGTCTTACCTTCTATTATATTACTAATTAAATGTATTAACGCCCATCGACACTTAATATATTGTAGTACAGAAAGCAATTGTGTTTCTTCAGTAGATATCGGTAATACAAAATTAGAATATACTCCATTTTGCTAAGGCACTGGGGCATCTTCACTGCAGACTGCCGACGTAGCTGTGTTAAAAATGAAGAAATCGCTAAGGGTGGGAGAGGGTGTGGCGCCTGTGTGTCTGGCTCCTCCTAGGGACTACGAAGGTTTCTCTGTGGTGTTGCTGGGCTGGGGAACCCTCATGTACAGTGAGTCTCATTACCAATAGTTATAGTGTTGATAGTACCGCAGTAGTAGCTTTGATAATGAAAATAATATCCCGTATGTCTATGTCGAATATACCTATGCATTTTATTATATCAATCATAGGTGTAGTGTGACCTTAAATTTCCTTACCCTTTTTAATATCTTTCGAGGTGTGTTCAGATCAAACTCTTGTTGGTGACTGCATAATGTCTTCCACAGACCATTGTTATTAATGTTCTTTTCTCTTCCTCAGTGTTCTCCTGGTTCTCGTTTACATTAATAGTATCACTCGTTTATTGGTCTTCATTCAACTCGTGTCCATATATTTTGTAATCCGTCTAAGTGGTCAGCATAAGTCATCCCGTGCTTATATTTTACACTTGTATAACAGTTTATTACTTTATTCTTTTCCTACATACAACTGTCCAATAAGTCTTCTTGTCTGTATATAATAATAATTTTTCGCTATCTGGTGTTGGCTGGAGAGCAATTCTTCCCGTGTGGGTAGTGACCAATTTAATATTATCAACTCCCTCCCCCCGGGTTGACAGACGGGAAGAGCTCTAAAAAGCTGAAGGAGGCGACGCAGGTGGTGACCAATCTACATGAGTGTGCCAGGAACTACTCCACCCTTTCGAAGAATCACAAGTACCCCGTCACCGCAGACCACGTGAGTCAACTTAAATGGGTCTAGTAACTCTGGCTGTCTGTCTCTCATTACATAGAGAAGAATATCTTTATTCAAAAGTTACCGCAGCTTAGTGAGAAAAAAAATCGATAATATACTCGTGCTTAAAGACTGTCAATTTCAAGCACCTACAATTATTACAAGAGCACAAATTCTCAAAGGACTGTTTTTTTAAATTTCTCTCTCGATTAAAAATTAATTATGCATCTAGCTGGCTCGCTTATGACACAAATGCATCTGCCAAAGCTGTTCATTAATTAAACTGAAATTCAATGGTAACTAGATATGTTTCCCTCCATCCTTAATGGCGTGGCAAATGCTGAGTGACCGAGGCGCCTCTCCTCTCTCCATCCTTTCCTATCTCTCCCTCTCTCTATACAGGTATATTCATAACATTCCACCCCCCCCCCCTCACCCTGCCTCTATACCGGTATATCTCCCTTCTCTCTACTTCCTTTCTACGTCCTTTACTCTCTCTCTCTCTCTCTCTCTCTCTCTCTCTCTTTATATTTTCCCTCCTTCCTCTCTAACACTAAGAAATTATGTATATGGAGCAAGTAACAAGATTATTAGATTACAAGATGATGTAACCGCTAAACTAAGGTTAGGATGTACAGTAAGGAGACATAATCCCCAAATTAGCATTACAGATGGTTCCGATGAATTTCAAAACGCACGCTGCGACTCCTGTTGTCTCGGTAGGATTGTCAAAATTCTTCGTCATGTGTAATATGTCTAACAAAATCATAAACATACTATCTGGAGCAGTTGTACATAGCGGTAAAAAAAAAAGAGCATAATGACTTTGTGTGAAACAATATGACACCATGGACGAAGGATTTTGACAATCCTACCGAGACAACACGAGTCATATTGATCATATCGAAATTCATTGGACCTCTGGACATACACTTCTTCTTTATTTAACGTGTGTACCTCTGGCAGTATGCCCCTCACGGCTATGTGAACAAAATAAATGTAAAGTGTGCGGCCAGACATATGGCCACACACTCCAATACTATGTTTTAGACTGTGAAAAAAAAATAGGGATAGGTCCAAGCACACTGTGTATGTGCAATAGCACAGCACTTTACCTTTGATGGCAAGATAAAGGATATATCAGAACCGTGTCCACATTCCGCACTAAACAATGTACTGTAATGTACAATGGACTGGAAATGCTCTCTAACATTCAACGCCACTAGGATCTGATGAAACGCGCTCTGTGACCTCTTCTCTGTAATTTTTTTTTGGCACTATCGCTCACAGGATGAGTATGGGGTGCATAATAAACTACCTGCTGTCAGCAACAAAATTCAATTTCAATATAATCTTCGCAGCTGTGCACGGCGGCACCCGGGGTAGACACCTGCCAAGGGGACTCAGGAGGACCCATCCTGACCAGAATTGGAACAACTTGGTACCAGGTAACACAAGCCACTTCTTATATGGCCAATAACCTAATACACTCCCTCCCTTACTAACGGAAACAAATTTATTTCTATACTGGGGTATTCATTCTTGTGTGTGTACGTGTGTACTTTTTTTTTCGTATCCAACTACTGCTTATCTCTGAACCTCATCCACCCAACCAACAACCTCAAGTAACCTATGTTAAGTTTCTATGTATAACAATAACAAAATATTCTGATCATTTATTTCCGCATGGTAACAGCACCATCTCATCTATCGTTAATTATCGCAAAATTTTGGATGGCGTGAATGAGTACCCCAACTTATTCCACCTGATGATTAAACTACCTCTCTTTAACAACTGTATTTGCCACTAATAGCCGTTGACTTCATCTATCTCTCGTTAGAAGATGTTGATTATATAATTATGTCAAATGTTTGTCGAGTTCCGTTACAGAATGTTTACAAAGTCCCTTGATGCCTGTCTTCAGTCTCCTCAGAAATCACTTACAAATCCAGAACACCGGAATATACGTACCATTTTCTTAAGACACATTAATTACTTCATCATGCCCAGTGTGACTTAACATTACAAGCAGTATTATAAAGAAGAAAAGTTACGTGCCGATAATGATGCAGTACAGACCGATATTTTGGGAATGTAACTTCCTGTAAAGCATAAACATCACTGGACTTCGTAAGCATCCTGAACAAACACAAATTTTCACAATGCACCTGTCCTTAACAGCAACTGACTTTGCAGGTGGGGATCGTCTCGTTCGGGTACAAGTGTGCACAGCCGGCCTTCCCTGGGGTCAGCACCTTCGTCCCCAGCTACATTTCTTGGATACTAAGTACAATGTCCGGAGACGCCTGTGATTAGCGTCTGAAAAATACTAAGTTTTATCTTAGTCAAAAAATACATTATACTGTAAGTTCATGCTAGTGATGAAGATGCGTTAAAAATATTATCGCAGTTGAAATATTGAAACTGTATAGAAACTTCTAACTAGCTGACGACAACAGGCTAAGAGCGCCCTTCGGCATATGTTTTCACCAAATTTCACGTCACGACTTTTGTATTTCATTGTCCAGTTGAGAATAACACAGCACCCTCTCGAATAAACAATGCTTCACATTCTTCTGCAAAGAATGTGAGAAACTTTTTGCCGTTACTTTTAATAGTTTACAAGCTGTTAACACTGGTGAAGAGTGTGGGGACGGGCCGGGCTAAAAAGCGGCAATTACACGGATATAGACAGTTCGTACCGATATTACAAAATACTGTAGTATGTTCAGTTTACACCCGCCATGCCGCTTCACCACCGAGAAAGACAAAGTAGAGCAAGCCGAAGGGTGTAATTATCTACCAAACGAAGCATTTGCCCAAGAAATGAATATCACGTGTCGTCAATTATTACCTCGAATATAATTTTTTTTACTATATATTGACCTTTGTGAATATGCAACCATTACAGGAGGCTTACCTTTCTGAAGCTTTGGATCTGAAGAGATTACTCCCGAGTTCCTCGCTATGTCAGGTTTTCCTTATTTTATCTGCTGTTTGTACAAAGCTGTTGTAACGGTAGTCTAGGTGAATACTGGAAGCAGCAGAATGTTTTATTTTTTCTCATCACCGTCACTCAACATTACTAAATTCAATTGTCCGGATACACACACACTCACAATGATCACTTAGCTATATTCTTGTGCACTGGGTAAATACAGAGTAGCTTTTTATCGTATGAGCGCACACCACGTTCACCCTTTCGTGCTGATCAAGCAACAACTGGAGACTGGGTCATTGGTGAAGGGTGAAGCACCTGGCGGCGTCTGTAAGAACTATATATAATAAATGAATGGTCTTGGGAAATGTGTACCGCGACAATATAAAAAGTAAGATTGTAAACACTTATGATAGGGTTTTTTGGGTAGAAAAATAATTTGCAGATGGATTTCATAGTGAGAAAATAGTGACGCGTGGTAGGAATTTAAGTTCATATATTCTTAAAACCCTGCTGGACCAATTTTCTGTTTCGTGGAGCACTGTGAACGCCTACTATAAGGTTTGTGATAAAAATCCCGACACATTTCACGAATGTAAGGGAAGATAACGCGATTTTTTATTATGAATCTATTAATTTTGTTCTCTGCCACTGATCAGCCATCTAATGAATATTGTCACTCCCCGAATTGGAAACCAAACTTAGTTTTTACCGTGTGATATAATTTCTTGCTTTATATAGTTATTAACCCCTTCATTAAAAGGACACCTCTATTACTAATATTTTAGTTAACGTCAGACGATTTTATTCATCAAAGAAGGAAACACGTGCACAAGGGGTTGGTAGACTATCTCCACTAAAATGTTTTGAACTGTGTTTGTGAGGACTACTATTTTGTACCCGATTGAAAGCCCACTAAGTTCCATTATTCAAATAATTTACGTAAATTTATTTGTAACTAGCACATAATCTATTGTTATGGCAGATTTGTATACTAAGCTAGTAATTATTTATGGGATTTATATTATAATAAATGTAATTTTTTATTTTTATTCTTCATACACACGGCTAATTATATATATATATATATATATATATATAATTTGCACTTTGCGTTTATTCATTGATTTACTATTATTATTTACTCATGCAAAGTGTATTAATTAAGCAAGGTGTGATTGAGATGATCATTGGATAACTACCCACTGATAACTGCCGTCTAAACCTAAACAACTACCACCTAGCCAACTAACCCCCGGGTTTTACTACCTATACAAGCACCCATCTTGGCTAACTGACCCTAGGACAGCTTCCATCTAGTTTCCCTCTCGAACAACCGTGTCTAGGACAACTTTCAGTTAGATTACTGCTCTACTATAACTTTTTCCATTAGGACAACTGTATCATTAACTATCGCACGAGGATAACTTCAAATAAGACTTTCACTGCAAGACATTTGCCCCAAGGAAGCAGCTCTCGCCACCAGGACAACTAAACCACCACAAACACTCCTTATGCAACTGACTCCTTAGGTTTCTTCATAAACAATTAAAAGAGAGATCACGGTGCTACCACATCACCTCCAGCTAAGAATACCCAGAAACTAGACCACTGCAAACTTGGCTACATTAATACTGGTTACTGCTTCTATCATCGGGTATAGGGTAGATTTTACGTTAATAAATTATTGTTTATGTCATCTTGAACAGCGTGATTAAGCTGGTTTGTTTAATAGAAAGCGGCCAGAGTGATGTAGATACAGTACTTGAATATCTGGTAGGACTCGGCGCATTCGAATGACATACAATGGTAAAAAGAAACAAACAAGTCTTAAAAAGTTGTATATTTCACAGGAACTAAAAGTTAAATTGGATTCTGGTTGTATCAAATAAATCTATGATATTTTAAAGTAGGCTCAGAAACACGAATATTATATATGTTAATGACCATTACTGTATATACTTGGCATCTCTATCTTATAATGCTCGAATTGTTGCTGGAAATACATACTTTGTTTTCCATTGAATATAAATTTGAATACCGTGTTGAGAGCTTACCTTAAATATCCTATTCTGATAATATCCTAAATATACACATTGATTTTCCCTCGTAAGATATACTAATCCATACTGAAATACATCCAGGAGTTGGATTTTACAGGTACATTAAAGCTTAGTTTTCATGTTCAGTTCAAGAGATCGTACCGCCGTGCTACAACACCGAGATACGCCGGGAATTAAGGAGAGCACAACTCGTTTACACAATGGTTGGTTGTCTTACCATAAACATTTTAGTTCACAATCGATACATTTTGTAAATTTGGTCTTTAAAAGTTTTGTGAAAGATCGAGTGAAGCCCAAACAAATAAATAATATATAACCAAAATATTACATTATAAGACTTGCTTTATAAACAGATATGGTAGTTTGATACAATAGTAAAAGAAAATTGCCTCTGGGGAGACTATTGTAGTTGGTTACGACTATAATGACTCCATACTGGTGTTAAATAGAATATAACATCACAAACTGAGATTTACCTACTGAAAATTATTGAAGCTCCTACCAATGTCAACTTTTTTGTTTTGTGGTTATACATAATAATAATAATAATAATAATAATAATAATAATAATAATAATAATAATAATAATAATAATGCTTTCCCAGAAGTATTGTAGTCCTTAAGCTTTAATCTTATCACGTTTAATCAACATTCACTTTGTATTCGACAGGGAAAATCTAAAACCAAATATAGAGGAAGAAAGAGGAATTATGTGAAGAAATTTGGTGAAATCGAGAGCCATGTCGATAGAAAATGTAAGTAGTAGTATGGCTAACTAAAGAAAAAAAGATATGGTCAGATTGGGAGAGAAATACGAAATTTTAGCTAAAATAAGAAAAATAAATGGGTTTACAGGAGACAACTAATCAAATAAAAACTATGATATTATCTTAAAAGAGAGAGAAGTACGTAAATTATACAAACGTGTCTGTATATGTATGTAGTGTATACCCGGCGGAAGAGGAGGCAATGACAAAGAACGGAGGTGTTGGGCGACTGAGGGAAGGGGGGACATAAATAAAACACAGGGACTACCCAACTTTGTAAGAATGAGACAATAGATTACCGATTCTAGACAAATGCTTGAATAAAGAAATCAATAAGTTATTAAGATGATTCATTAGATCAGATAGAGATAATAACAAAAGCTGATCATAATAATGCAGCCTACGAAGGATGTTCCTAATAATGAGCCAAATGATTTACTTTAATAAATAAACTGAGTTATTCCTCACAGCCTCACCAAAGCATGTACACATTGTTCTATATTCTTAAGTTTGTCCGGATTTGTTGCAATCAGTAAAAGTAGAAAACCCGTACGTAATGGCAGTAATGGGCAAGACTCGTGTTTAATGGTTCTGTCATCATAATCCACACTTATTTACAGACAAGTTTTTGCCACGTATTACAAATTTATAGGTTGACTCATTATCACATTTTTATTTTCTTCTTCTCAGTTTTAGCATCTCCAAAATATTTTATCTATATTTGTGTTTCTCTTCATATGACCAGCGTAAACCACACGCGAGTCTTGAGACATGGGAGTTAAGAATGATCCGGCATGTTGTCTTGCAGTGGGACGACGAACGTATTCCATCAGGGTTGTGGAGATCACAGTGAGGTGGGGGAGGGGTAGAGGTGGGAGAGATCGTTGGATTGTAAAGCCAGGAGACCCTGAGATGGTATTCCAAAGGGACCTAGGAAACCAACTGGACCAGACGACGCTGAGTGGGCATCCCAAGGGTCATGTAGGAGACCTGCTGGACCAGGATCCAGTGGAGACGAGCAGGAGGAGATTAACAAGAGCTGGAGACCTGGTCAAGGATCCATGGCACGTAGGAGGACACCCGCGTGTAGACACCCGGGTAGTCAGGTCTGGCACACCCGACCCCATAGCTCACCACACCCATCTGTCGGGACGAAAACTTATTACACACCTGGTGGAACCCTCTTAAACACCTGCTGGAGCCCTGTTAAATATCTGTTGGTCAACCGTTGTACTACCAGTTCAAACCTGTTACACATCACTGTTATACTCCTGTTGGGCACATATTACTCATTTACGGGACTCCCACTTACAAACCCGTTTCACACCTGGTGAACACGTAACAATACACAGGTAAGATGATAATTCGAACCTCTACTTGGAAATGCATTTTTTTTTACGGGAATTAGCCCATCCGGGCACAGGTCAAACCAAACGACCCACAACGGGGCCTGGGTGGCGAAAATATAAGAACAGAAAGAAATTGAAAATAGAGAAGAAAAAGGTTATACTCCACGAAGATGCCGGAAAACCATCTTTTTAAAGTGAGACAGATTGTATAAGTATGGAAACACAGAAGGCGGAGCATTCCACAGTTTGGCTGTGTGAGGAAAGAAGGATGTACTATAACGGGTTATTCTCGTGTTACCAACATCTACAGAGAAACGGTGGGCACCGCGGGCAAGGCGAGTGTTCCGAGCCCACGGTCTTGCCAGCGGTACACAGGATGCCAAATCCACCGAACATTGCCCGTTAAAGTACTTGTAAAAGAGAGAGTGAAGCAACATTGCGGCGAAAAGAAAGGGAAGAGAGATCAACTAAAGGAGAAGAGCTAATAATGACGAAAATAATCTCTATGAATATATGATCAAATAATTAACGAATAAATAAGGTGGAGGATGGGGGAAGGTGTTTAAGGGAGAGGAAAGGGTCAAGGGAGAAGAAAAGGTCAGGGGACATTAAAAGAGAAGAGGTTTAAGGGAGATGAAAGGGTACAAGAAAAAGGGAGAACAACACAGGTATGAGAGGGAGGGGGGAAGGGGGGGGGGGAAGAGAGTCGTCTTACCTGGTACCAGATACCATTGTTTAGGATCACCAGAGGTCCCCCGGAGTCACCTTGACAAGCATCTTTACCTGGCGAGGCTGCACACACCTGGGGTAGACAAACCGGTTTATTTGGTCTGTGTATACTGACAGTGTGTATACCTGTGGTGCTGTGTAATGACGTGTATTCCTGTAGTGGTGTATAATGACTATGTATACTTCTGAAGGTGTATAATGACTGAAGAATTATAATAATGTTTAGACTTGTCTTGGTGTATAATGACAATGTTTATACCTGTGGTGGTTTATAATGACAATGTGTATACCTGTGTTTAATTAATGTTTATGGATAATAATGATAGTGAATAATGACATGTATATAGCATTAGCAGCACCGTCTAAAGAAACGTGTACAGGGTTTACGTGTCATGTACAGTGTAAACTCTCTCTCTCTCTCTCTCTCTCTCTCTCTCTCTCTCTCTCTCTCTCTCTCTCTCCAGTCATCGTATCTTCCATTTTTCACCGATTCAAACCGTGAAAAATTTACACACACACACACACACACACACACACACACACACTTACCCATCTAAATTACCCATCTAAAACACCTGTGGATCACCCATGTACTGCTCGGTCATAGTGAGCAAGCGTCCCCAACATCTGTTCTCTTCTTGCCATATGTCCTAAAACCAGACACATGCACAAAACGTCTGAAAAACCCATACATAGACAGGCAGACACACATATAGATAAACAGACAGACAGACACACACACAGGTACACATAAAATCACACTTCATGGGAAACGTTTGTATAGATTCATTTAATATACCTGTGAACCACCAAGTGTACCTTAGTCACCCCACACGTGTCCTCTACCAACAGGTGTTCCCTCAAGATCACCTGTGTTTCTCGGAAGAGGAATGATGGTCATGTAATAAGTGGGTCAAGTTTAAATCTGTAGCAGGTGAACAGGGTTATACCTGTATGTGATTTGGGGGGAGGAGGAGAGATGAGAGGAGAGAGAAGACGATGTATAATAGGTGTGTAAACTAGGCTACAAGGTTAGTGAACACTTGGTCTTCTTCCATGGCCACAAAACACTGAACAGCTGATCCAACGTCAACAAAACACTGAACAGCTGATCCAACGTCAACAAAACATTGAACAGCTGATCCAACGTCAACAAAACATTGAACAGCTGATCCAACGTCAACAAAATCTCATTTGAGGCAACAAAAGCTACTGAACTCTGTCGTATTTAATCTCCTGAATCTTAGTAACAATGAAACACTGTAACCATGACCAGACTCACGGTCACGTACTTACGTTAGTGTCAAGGACGTCGATGTCGGACTCCAGGTAGTTTTTGACGCACTTCGCCTGGTTGGTCACCTGCACGCCCACCTCTTGCAGTTTGCTGGGCTGACTGCCCTCTGACGAAAACAACACACGTCACCACCTTATATAAAAAAATTGACAAATCTAATACAAAATGACAACTCTGACTTATGTAGAGCATAATGTATACACTTGTAATACCACCTGGTCACTCATTCTGGACTTTTGTGAAGTAAGAGTGAGTGAGTGAGTGCGTGTGTGTGTGGATACTCACGGAAGGACAAGGTCCCCCAGCCACTGACTACACCCATCTGGCCCTCGTAGTCCTTCTCGGGGCTGAGACACACTGCCCCCACCCGCCTGCTCCAGTTGACATCCCCTTCCAGTGTCAACACCGCGATGTCATTGGCCTGTCCAAGGGAACACTCGGTGTTAGTATAGAGGACTGTTTTACGCTACAGATTACGTGTCTGTAACAGTAATATGTCTACTACGTGTCTGTAACAGTAATATGTCTACTACGTGTCTGTAACAGTAATATGTCTACTATGTGTCTGTAACAGTAATATGTCTACTACGTGTCTAACAGTAATATGTCTACTACGTGTCTGTAACAGTAATATGTCTGCTACGTGTCTGTCACAGTAATATGTCTACTACGTGTCTAACAGTAATATGTCTACGTGTCTGTAACAGCATCATGTCTACTACGTGTCTGTAACAGTAATATGTCTACTACGTGTCTGTAACAGCAATATGTCTACTACGTGTCTAACAGTAATATGTCTACTACGTGTCTGTAACAGTAATATGTCTACTACGTGTCTGTAACAGTAATATGTCTACTACGTGTCTAACAGTAATATGTCAACTACGTGTCTGTAACAGTAATATGTCTACTACGTGTCTAACAGTAATATGTCTACTACGTGTCTAACAGTAATATGTCTGCTACGTGTCTGTCACAGTAATATGTCTACTACGTGTCTAACAGTAATATGTCTACGTGTCTGTAACAGCATCATGTCTACTACGTGTCTGTAACAGCAATATGTCTACTACGTGTCTAACAGTAATATGTCTACTACGTGTCTGTAACAGTAATATGTCTACTACGTGTCTGTAACAGTAATATGTCTAATACGTGTCTGTAACAGTAATATGTCTAATACGTGTCTATAACAGTAATATGTCTAATACGTGTCTGTAACAGTAATATGTCTACTACGTGTCTAACAGTAATATGTCTACTACGTGTCTAACAGTAATATGTCTACTACGTGTCTAACAGTAATATGTCTAATACGTGTCTGTAACAGTAATATGTCTAATACGTATCTGTAACAGTAATATGTCTACTACGTGTCTAACAGTAATATGTCTACTACGTGTCTGTAACAGTAATATGTCTAATACGTGTCTGTAACAGTAATATGTCTACTACGTGTCTGTAACAGTAATATGTCTACTACGTGTCTGTAACAGTAATATATCTAGTACGTGTCTGTAACAGTAATATGTCTACTACATGTCTATTAAGTATATTCCATGGTTATCACTCTACTTCTACCAATGTCTCGACTGAAACTGCCTCTACTAAATTGTTCGGTCATTCACCTGCATAAAAAACAATCAAGGTAAAGGATTTAACCAAACACCTAATATTATTTTAAGTATCTTCTTTAAATGCTAAAATTCTGCTTCCTTTTTGGGTCATCTATTTTTTTGACTTTTTTATTTTTATTTTTTTGATCATGCATTTTTCTCTATACTATAACTCTATGATAAAAATGTAAACAGTGAAAGTAAAATAGTGTAGTTATGATCCGGAATAAAATTTTAAAAAGCTTTCATTAAATTCTAAAACTTCTCCAGAATTTTCTCTCACGACTTTCATTTTGTTAATTTTTTCCAGGAGTTGAAATCTCACTCAAAATTCTGTCAATGTTTATACCACATATTTTGGGGGGCTGTTTGGGTTTAATTCCGAGTGATTTGTCTACTGCATACCACTGATCTTTTAACTATAGGGACCCACAGTACAAATACGATAACTAATAAAGAAAATTCACTCCATACCTATATGAATACATCTGCGTTCTATTATAAACCTGTGAGAAGAATAGGGTGTTGTTATACGTGGACAAGACACAAGGTGACTTACCAGGGTGTCGGAGTTAAAATCTGGATGGGCGATGAAGTCTACCACTTTGAACACCTTAGAAACCCCGGTATTTAAGTTTTTCATGTCATGTAGTCCCACCGTCGCCGTCAACTTCAAACTGAGGGAGGAGGGGGAGAGAGGGTCAGTGAGATGAAGGAGTATCAAAGGAGAGGGTGGAATGTATCAATGAGAGGAGTAACGATAGAGAGGCAAGGAGTGGAAGCGGGTGTATGCCAATGGATTTTGTGGAAGGAGTCATTGAGAACGAGTGGGGAGGGGGGGCAGAAAGAGTGCCGGGGGCGGAAGAGGGGAGTGAGAAAAGTTGGGTGTGAGAGAAAGGGAGAGGATTGAGTGAGGAGGACACGCACATGCACACACCCCCAATGTATATCCTCAGCCCTATAGATATTGTCCACTGCTCCCCCCACTTCCCTATTCTTTATTTACAACCTTAAATTAATTCTCCCTCTCCCTCCCTGTCTCCATTGTTTTTATTTCCTTTAAACTGTCTTCCTCACAGCTCTGCAGACTCACTTGCGGAAATTGACACAGTGTGCGGCGGTGAGGACGTGTCTTTTGGAGATGATCGCTCCCCCGCAGCCTTTGAGAGGTCCACCATCGTCAATGGTGAGCATAACCATCCACGGGTACTCCCCCTTATCAGCCTCGCTGCCTCCCACGATACGTGTCGCTCCGGCACCAGAGGGCGCAGCGCCACACACTGTGAAGAACAGCCACTGTCTGAGATGCTGTGAAGAGCTTATCAGAGTAAATACAAAACCGTCGTTTTTAATGGTAAAGGACTGCCTTATACGCTAGAAAAATTAAGATCATAATACTGGGCAGTAATGTAGGGTAGTAAATGTCTAACACCTGCACAACATAAGCTAAGATCACAGTAGTGGATCACACAGGGTCTTAGTTTTAGATGGTAAAGTTTCTCCATATACTGAAAATTGGAGGAATGTACCACGGGGCAGGTGAAGCGAGTCGTCCAAGACACCACACAGTCCTTGCAGCAAAGAATCCACAGACAAGAAGTTGTCCCGGCCACTGGTACAATAAGGGCGGAACTTTAGGAGTTCATGGCCCTCGGCACGTCATAGTCAACACGTTCTTTGTTTAATTACTTGGTCAATACAAGAACATCTTTAATGTACTGATCACCAGTGTAACTTAGTGCTCGTTGAGAACGTTAAAGAAGTGTCGACTTTTAACAATTTGGGCCTGTGTTAGGTAGTGAACTCGTGTAAAAAAAATATATATTCTGGAGAACCTGTGACACACTGACCACTGTAACAACATATTAACAAGAGAAAAAATATGCAAGTTCCTTTGTTTACCTAACAAATATACTGAACTTGTGACATCGGAAAGTTATTGTTCAGATGGTTAAAATTTGGTTTATTTTGGTTGAGTTGGGTTGGGTTGGGTTGTTAAGTTAGGTATCCTCCAAGTTATTAACAATGTTTTATCGTAACATCTCGAAAGACGGGGACAAGCAGTTTGGGGTCATGACTCGGGGGAACCTCAGGTGGCACTAACCAGACAAACTAACTCACTGGTCAGGCTCGACTTAATAACCTGGCCTATGGTTTTAGCCACAACATAACTAATGGTCTTAGCTATAGATCAAAACCTAATCCCTTGGTTTTGATAATAGTTTGATACATACTTTTGGCAGTGTCGTTAAGTTGTTAAGTCACTTAAACTCTGCTTCTGATAGTCACTTCAGCTCTACTACTGAGTTACTTAAACTATACACCTCTGACAGGAACTTAAGTCATACTTCTGACACTGACACCCACTTGAGCTATATCTCAGACCATAGCAGAACCTACACACAAGACAATGACAAAACAAACACTACTGACAACCATCTGACTGTAAGGTTAATCAGATTCTTACTTGAGGAGCAGTTAGGAATTTGTGAACCCTCAGCTGAAGTAGTTCCTGTTGGGCCTCCGTCGTCGCTGCCTGCAGGAGACAAACCCTCTTTGTATAAAGTGATAATAAAATAATGTTATTTATATGATAGCAAGTAGCAGTCAATGTTTGGTTTAATATTATATGGGTTTATTACGCGAGTTTACCTGTACTTTTGATGGTGAGTTTACCTGTAGCTTTGATGATGAGTTTACCTGTAGCTTTGATAATGAGTTTACCTGAAGCTTTGATAACGAGTTTACCTGAAGCTTGGATAATAAGTTTACCTGTAGCTTTGATAACGAGTTCACCCATAGCTTTGATGATGAGTTTACCTGTAGCTTTAATAATAAGTTTACCTGTAGCGCTAATAGTGCAGTGCATCCTGGATTTCCTACGCTGCTCTCGCCGTCGCTCGTACTTGATGTACAGCTGGGATAGGTCAGTCGCTTCAGTTGGTTTCCTCTTTCTACCACAGAACGTCCTGTGTGCAGCAACATACAGGGTTTTATATACGGACTGATAACACGAGGGGTTATATTCACAGGAAGGAGACAACAGGAGGGAGAGTGAGGAAGAAAAGGTGTACGGGGCGGGATTGGCAACAGGCGAAGGGAAGATGCAGAGAGAGGGTAGGAGGGAAAGTTGGCCGCTGGGGAACGAAGAAGGTGAAATACGTATAATATCATGATAAGTATGTCTCAATCAGCTTTGTATTGTTCTCATATAACACGTCACAAAGTCACTACATTACCAGGTATAAGAGACATGTCATTGGGAATTGAAGATGCGGGTGTTAAAACTTCCATCCAGAGCCAGCATAAAAATAAGGTGATGGAGGTAATACTCACATGGGTGGGTTGACGCCGTCGGTGATGAAGAGGTACTCGTTTCTGCAGGAGGAAGCCCTAAACTTGGAGCAGGTGAAGGACAACTTATAACCTTCCTTGGCCTGTAGGGGGAGAGATAGGTGAGTGAGTGAGTGAGAGAGAGAGAGAAAACTTCCCTCATAGATCATACATTTTTTTTTTACATTTGGAAACTCTATCGAATTTAGGATCACTTTTAGCCTTTATTAAATCATCTGCCCAAATTTTACATCACTTATGACTAAAGTTTTAATTTACATCTACGAAATTTTTGTAGCCGTAGCATTTTTTTTGATGGTATTTCACCTGGACCAGATGTTGGTAGCTGTAATATATCTTTGTTTACACTAGATAATAAACAACACTAACCAATCAAACCGAATCTAATCCACACAAACGGTTGACTAGATATAATTTGTTTACCAATATCTACCTAAGTATCTACCAGCACCCCCAGGAACCTACAACAATCTACCAGCACCCCCCAGGAACCTACAACAATCTACCAGCACCCCCCAGGAACCTATAACAATCTACCAGCACCTCCTCCAGGAATCTACAACAATCTACCAGCACCTCCCCCTTAGGCACCTACACGTATCTTACCTTGAAGACCATCTCGCAGGATGTAGTGAATCTGGGCAGAATGAACTTGACTGCGTCGCCTTTACCCATCTCATAACTCAGGCCACACTCACCCACTGAAATAATAATAATAATAATAATAATAATAATAAAAAAAAAAATAAAAATAAAAATAAAAATAATAATAATAATAATAATAAAAATAAAAATAAAAATAATAATAATAACATCAAATACAGAACAATTTACATTTGTTGTCATGTGAAGTGCTACCATATTAAAATCTAAGAAAATAAATATTTGTGTACCAAGAAAAGTCAATTCAACTTTTAAACTGGTGGGTGGGAAGAGAAAGTTGAAAGCTGTGTAGTGTGTAGTACCAGTGATGGCAGAATTTTGCTGCGAGAGAGAGAGAGAGGGGGGCCCATGATTTTTCCTCAAAGGCAGCGCCACACACACGTAAACACACAGGACACAAGACGCCCTCTCCTGGCATTAATCGTACCAGAACCATTCCTCTGCTTCTTGTACTCCTCCCTCGTCTTATGCTTGAGTCTACTGAGCCGAGTCGCCCTTGAGGACTCACCCCTACGTACAGGACGAGGACTTGGACCTGACTTGACCTTACCCGTGGTGGTTCGCGGGGAGACGATGGTGTAAGTAGTGGTTCTCCCGCAGGGGCTGGTGTTGAGTCGTTTGTTGGAGGTCTTCCTCGACTCCCCTTCCACCCTGCGTCGATCAGAACACCTCAGGAAGTCTTCTCCCAACTTGGTTATCACACCGAAGTCCTTATAATAGAGGTGATGATAGTGAGTTATAGGATTGACGAAGAAATATAGCAACTATGATTATTTATTAAGAATTTAGGGTTGAAAAGGAAGGAATTATGGTTAGGTTAAGATTTTAGGCTAGAAAAAAAAATATGGTGGTGTAATAACATTTTTGGGTTGAAGGTGTTGTTGACAGATGATCAGACAACCACACAACCAGAAGAAGAATATTTCCCACTTTCTAACACGTGTTTATATGTGACCTTGCCATCTGACCTACCGTTAAGGCAATATAACAACCACAACAACCAACACAACTTACCCGGCTGGCTGTTCTACCATCAACTCCAGCAGCCTTGACGGGCATGGGTACTGTGTCGTTGAGTGGTTGAGGCAGACGGACACCCATACCACCATAAGACTCAGCCCACACGGACACTGCGCCCATCACCACCACGGCCCATATCAACACGCCCCCACCACCAGGGACAAACAGTCGCTCCTGCATGTCCAACCTAAAAATATAAACGAGTCAAAGCAAAATTGTAAAAAAATTCTAATTGTGAAAAAAGTTAAATATTAAATGATAAGACAAAAAGATGGCCATAAAAAATACGACATTGACTTTACAAATTTATTAAAGTAATGTCTTAAGTCTGTTGTATAGACTGTATTGCCATAACTTAATGGTCTTAAAGGTGCCAGTAAGCTGTAATCCATGGTTAGGTTAGGTTAGGTTAGAGTTAGGGTGGTTAATTATGAGGTGAAATAGGCGGAGGGGGGAGGGGTTACTATAATCAACAGGTAATAGCGACAGTGAAAAAAATAATAATCAAATAAAACAAAATAGTATAAACAAACACAGAAAAAACAAAGTCAATTATATAACAATGAACAAACTAAACAAATAGAAAAAACTAAACCAGTATAACGACACAAGCCACAGAAGAAAAAATTAAAACCTTACCACTTAAGAGAAACTTTCACTAAAAACCACTAACGGTTAAAGCGGTCACCAGGAGGAGGAGGATGAGAAGCTGAGCGACACGACCCCAAGACGGTACAATGGGTGACTGACTAGCCGAGGGCAGACCCACCCTTTTTATCCACACCTCGACCACCAAGCACCGGAAAGAAGGGATGTCATTATTTTTTTTCCCTCCGGATACCATTTACTTTCGACTTCACATCCGGGAAAGACTCTTACACACATAAGGAAGGAATCGAAGCCTTATTTGGTTTTCTCGTATCACCAATAATAAGCTTATACCTTAGCTTGGTTTACGAATCTTAAATTTTTTGGATTACGGAGGTTGGTACGTTGAGGTTGTGTGCAGCTTGACCTACTAAAGCTTGAGAGAGAGAGAGAGAGAGAGAGAGAGAGAGAGAGAGAGACTAACGGAAGTGTTACGCCATAGTCCTGCACTGACGAGGTTCCATGGATGTGTGAAGAGACAAGGAGTACAGGTGGGTTGGGTAGGGCGGGGTTTACTATATGGTCAACCTACAGGTGGAAGGAAGGAGACTTGTGTTGACGGCCAGGTTGGAGAGAGTGGGGAGGGTATCACTTATCATTGTTGTTAATTTCAGGTTGGTGGAGCGAGGGAAGAGGGGGAGGAAGGGGAAGAGGGGAGAAATGGGAAGGGGGAAGGGGAAAAGGGGGGGAAGGGGAATAGGCGGAGGGGAAGGGAGAACAGATGGAAGGGGAGGGGAAGTGGGGAAGTAGGGTAGGGGAGTATTTGTTTACGGTCAGACTGTGGGTCACTGTCACCACCGGATACTCAAGACTACCAACGGGTCCCTGACGGTCCTGGGGACTTAAGTGTGTGTGTGTTATTGACGCTTTGTTTGTTTGTTTGTTTGTATCTCTTACCGATTCTGTGTTTGTCGCACATGTTTATTTGTATGTGTGCTTGTTTATTCATTAGTGCTTTAGAGATGAGAGAGAGAGAGAGGCCTGGTGTGTCGAGTGAACATGCTATGGAAGCCTTTCGATATTAGCTTTTAATTAATGTGTATGAGATATGGGAGTCTTTAATACCTGTAGTCACGAGAACTGAGAATTGGCTGTCCATTCATTAATAAATAGTAGATGGTTTGGTACTACTACTGCTACTACTTCAATTTTACTACTGCAAACACTATTAAACCTAAAATTTCTACCTAAACTACAACTACCCGGTATTAATTCTAAAAACAACAAGACTACAACTACTAATTAAATAAAATACTTCTACTATTACCAATAATAATAATAATAAAAATAATAATAACAATAATCTCAAACAAAGCTCACGTATTGCCCTGACACCCCGGTACCTTCACTGACCCTCACCAGCTGGCCCTCAAGACGAACACCAACACCACGAACAGCAGTAGTTCCCGACCAGAGAGTGACTTAAGACTTACAACATCTCACTCAAGTTCAATGAGACAAGGACAACAAAACCCAGGTACTGTACTGACCTTCAGGAGGAGTTGGACCCGTTTCCTTCACGTTAATGACCTTCCCGCTTCCTGTGTGATGTAAGGTTATGACTCATGGCTATTACAGGACATATCACCATCGTTATTACACTGAAATGTTCGTCGTTTATTAAGTATAGTGTCGCAATGGCCGTTCACCATTGGGAAAATTCGTGTATTTTTTTTTAAATTTCTAGGGAAACTAATCATAGCAAATGGACAAATATGCAGAGAAATAAACACTAGATGAAAGTTAGTTTAATATTCATGTACGAAAAACCAGATGTTGTATACCGATCAGTGTGACAGGTCTGAACAGCCTTGATATAATTTAGAGGTCAATTGCATTCTGTATGTCAAGGTGAAAGAACAGGTATTGCATGCTCCAGTTGTGGCTGTCTCTCGTTCGTGTGTGTGGTGTACTAACTATGACCCCACATTACACCCTGAAGTTGTTCTTTGGCTAACACTCAACACACTTTAAATTACCTGTTGAAGCTCCTGGTAAAACTTTCGTCGTACAGCCAACACACTCTAGTACAGTACTTCGTTTACATACTAGATACAATAATTTCAAAGCCTTATATCCCCCTAGAGAGGATTTTAATTTGCTCCTCATATTGTTGCTACACTAAATGGTCATTACCAAGTCACCCTGAGTGATGTATTAACGTGGAAGGAAAGGCGAGCAAGGTATTAGGTGACACATATCCTGGATTGTTAACCTTGAACTTCCTGTCATCGCAACTAAGGTAGAGGTGTGTGTGTGTGATGTGAGATAACCTTTCCACCACAATATCATTTGGTTCACCGTCCACCATATATACACACAGGGTCAACCCGTATATAGACAGACACGCCCAGGTAATATATCCCTTTGTATACGACAGGTGTATGGCCAGGTGCTAGTGTCACACCTGATTCTGGGTTACAAGGACATCTGCCGCCCCTGTTTCCTACCTTCCTCGGACGTGGATAGAGTGACGTTGGTGTGGCAAGGTCAGAGAGGGTTATTGTGTGTATGTTGACCATGACTTACTGTATGGTGCAGCAGTACAGTGACTCAGGACACGATGGTGAAACCGATTCTGTTCTTGTACCTGTTAATTATGTATTGTTATGAAGTTCTCATTAAGGTTTAGTCTACCTGTGTTTCACGTTTATATTCTAATTCTATGTATGTTTTATATCTAATATTTCTTATATTGTAATGTTGTCGCGTCCGTCAACACCTATTTTAGAATAACTTTTACATTATGTCACCGCAAGTTTTTTCTATTATGTCCAAAACAATTAAATAGTTTACATAAAAAGCTGGAACTCTGTTGTACACCCTGCCTGTGACACTACACCAACCACACCAGACAACATAGTATCCCCCTACCAGGTGTGTTCAAGGACTCTCACAACACCTAACTAATACGGTGATAAATACACTAATAATTAACTACGGTCTTTAATAACAAACACCTTCTGGTAATGTCAGTATGAAATTATTAAGATGGTAACTATTTTGATGTTTAAAGGTGATTCAGTAATTAAGACCATTAACCACATGAACCGAGACATTAAATTAGGTTAGGTTATGTGAGGTGTGACTGGTTGGTCTTCCTCGTCAGCACACGTTGGTCCATAACCTACATCTGCTTGAAGTGAAACTCGAGTAGAAAAATAACCAAACAAATTTAATATTCAGGATCGAAATGTGAAGATGAAGACGAAAAATACCACGAAAAAACAAAACGAAAATAAAAACGAAAATCAAGACATAAAAAAGGTTAAAAATGTGAATAAAATTGAAATAATAGAAAAACGAAAAACAAGAAAAACAGAAGAAAAATACGAAAACAATCGAAATAATAATAACAAAATGAGAGAGCAGGATGTAATAAAAGAGATATTCCTATAAAAAAACTAGGAAAATAAGAACTAGGAAAAGTCTCACATCACTGAACAAATAAACGTGACCACCTGACTTAACACACACGCACAAGCACACACTCGCTTTCTTGCTAGACCGAGTAAAACTGTAGTCACAATTTGAATACAAAAAACTTATTGTAGTCCCTAACTTATTTCAATTTTGAGATTAAACAAATTAAACACCCAAACGCTAACCTAAACTAACCTAACTAATCCATACCTAACAATCTAACTAAACAATGTAGATCAACTTGGTTAATTTAGGTTAACTTAAGGTTTGATATATTTAATTAGTTATCTGTTTATGTAATGGTATTCACATGAGCTATACCCCAATGCGTCTTTGTTTAAATATTAAAAGAAAAGTAGAAATTTAGAACAAGTCGGCTAGGCACGTCAGTTTAGAGTATACAGTATATTTTAACACTATTCAGGTCACTAGCGTGTTTCAAGCTGTGTTTCAAGCTGTAATTTCATTCTTCACATCACAGAGCTTTACCACCAGTCATATGAGAATTGTCAAAGTACAGTGCCAGGAATTAATAAGAGCGGGGTGGTAGGTAATAATGCTAACCTTCGGCCAGTGCCACCCAGCTCTCTCTCTCTCTCTCTCTCGCTGTTGCCCGCCATCTTTCTCCTCCTATATTGGTCAGGTAGCCCAGCCCTACTAGCTTTCACCCCAAAACGGTCTCCTGTTACGTAATGATCAGCAGGACGTAACAAACACTACTTCCTGTACACCATGTAGGGACGAATAAAAATACTAAAATAATAAAATAAAAAAACCCACAAACTTAAATGTGCATAACGGTAAGAGTGACAGCTGAAGGAATGACTGGTGTTGGGGCTCCACACGTTCTGTAACATCACTGCCCAGCGCTCACGTCTAAGCAGTAATGGCGGTCATTTATATATACGATTGCTCTTCCATTTTTAAGACACTAAAAAGACTCATAATTTGAACTAATACCATAAAGCAACTTGGTATCATCAGAAAGAAAGAGAGAAAGATGTCAAATTTAGGAGGATGACTCAAGGCAGCTGGGAAATTTTGGGCTGTGGTCGCCAACCCTCACACCTTTGGATGGCACTTAAGACTGAATCATAGGAATTAATGCGACCCGTTGAAGCTG